CAACAAAAAAGGTAAGTTGAAATGGAACGAACTTACCAGTTCGTGGAATTGAAAGAAAGACAGAGAAATAGGGATTTCGCAGGTGAGTCGCAGGTGGAGGCTAAGAGAAATAGGGATTTTAGGGCTAAGGCGCAAAATGAGGAGGTAGGTCTGGTCTGGGCATAATCCGGCGTTTAAATCCAGCATTTATTTTAAACGTCGGTGTTTTGCTCCATTTTTGCCGGCGCTTCCACTAAATGCCGTAAAATTCCGGTCCTTACGGACAAATCCTCCAAACGCCGGCTAATTAACGCCGGTGAAAATAGATTTTTTTGTAGAGAACATTTGAGTTGTTTGTTATTTTTGTCAGGAGTATCAATTTTGGATTTATATTAAAAATTAATCAATTTTAACTTTATGGTAGGTCCGTGTCATATTAAAAAAATTATCATCCCTAATTTATAGCACATGAAAAATAAGATTGGTTTTGGTCTCGGTAGCAGTTGGTGTTGAAAAGCAAAAAAAGGAAATTAGTAAATCAGGTCATTTCAATTCCAATTGACGCCAGCCAGAGCCAACGTTTGAGTGCTTTTCTGTTCATAACCAAATTCGGTTCTTCTACCTTTGGACAAATTCGCAATCTTTTTCATGATTGTTCTTCTTTGCTTTGTTCAAGAAGTTGAACTGACTAATAATTAATGGCCTCAGCCATGGTACAAAAAAAAAAAAAAAAATGGGAACCGTACATCTAATATTTATTATTTTAATAGATATTTTTATAATTTATTTTATAAATTAAAATTTTATTATTGTCGTGAGCGATTTATAATTTATATTTATATTTTTATCACTATTGGAATAATTATTTTTATAGTTTTTTCTTCGGCATAAAAATAATTGTTACTTTTGTAAGTGATTCACGACATTTGTGAGTTTTTTTTATCGTGATAATTATTTTTATTATTTTTCTTTGATATAATAATAGTGATAAAAATACTCATAATAATGATAAAATCATTCAAAAATATGATAAATATCAGTATGATATTAATATTTCTTTTCACAGCACCATAGGCAACTCATACAACAAAAAAATTTACCACTTTTATGAATAATTTATAATTTTTGTGGGTATTTTTATCACTATTATGAATATTTTTATCAGATTTGTGCTAACTATTTTTACCATTGTGATGATATTTATTTTTACCATTTTTTGATTACTATAACAATGATAAAATTATCTACAAATGTAATAAAACAATTACAAATATAATATATGGATATATAACACCAAAATTTTATTTTTGAGTCCAACGGTCAAGTCGTTAGAGGCTGGGTTTTTTTTTTTTCGGTCGAGGCTAGGTTCAACTATGATAACTTTATGGTACCTCATCTTTTAGTTCTCACACATTAGAGCTTGACACGCATAAAGTTTTTGTATTTTTATTATTTTCAAGATTAACGGTCACAAATTAATCAATTCAAGATCTACCGCCTATAATAAAATTTAATATGAGACGATTTAGTTGCACTAGTTGAAAGTTTGATCCGAATATCTGATACGATTGGATCTTACTTGAATAAGTTGATTAGAGATTATTTTAGCAAATTATGCATAAATTTTGACTTAATTTAATCAAATAAGCACTTAATATCACAATATACTTATTTTGTATAAGTACGATTTAGATTATAATATATTGGATATTGATATATCTATATTTGAAACCATGAAATATAATATAATGAATTTGGATTCAAACTTAGATAATTGGTCAAAAAATCAACCCACATGTGACTCATTAAATTCAAACTCAGATAAGTTTTGGATTACAATCCGATCCATTAGTATGTTTGGGATCATTATGCCCTGATTAAGCTGAAAATGTGTGTGGAATTTACGATTTTAATGGGAATCTAATTGCCATAACTTTCCCAGCTGTCAATTCACAATGGGAACGACAAAACTTGGTTCATTCAAACTAGATGTATTGTAATTCTCGTTTTACATTATGCTTGATTTTCTCCAAAATTTCCACACAATTTGGACTAAGTCCCCCTTTGGACCCCCTTGTAATCAAAATTTTCAAAATTTATGTCAGCAATTTGTCGTTCTATAAAGTTTTTGTTGTTTTTAATTGGGGAGTTTGTTATGCATGAATCCATCAACCCACACCCGCCCACACAAACACACACAACAACAAATACGAGTTCTTTACTTGGCGTCCAAACAATCACCAAAGAATAAAAAAGTTTGTATATTGACTACAAAAATTGGTTTTGGGGAGAGATAGAGAGAGGTATGTTCAGACATGTAATCTTTTGACTGTCGTTTGATTCATGTTTGCGGAGTAAGGCTAGAGATTAGAGGCATATAACTGTAGAGGGTACAACACTTCTGGGATTCTGCTATGCTAAATAATGAGATTTTTTTTTTTTTCAAAATTTTCAATGTTAGATGAGATCCTCTATTATGATTTATGAATTCCTAGCTACCCCTAAGATATGAGTAATAATATTGCTTTCCTCCCTCGTAATTCTGGTTGTCTATAATAAAGTCCCTCAATCATTATGGTATTCTTAAGGTCTTAAGGATATCATTAAAAGTTTGATTTTGTAAACAACACATTTTAAATAAAAAAAAAATGTTATTTAGACTTAATTTTAGGGACCTAAAATGAGTAGTAATTCAATACAAACATAAAACTTAATTCAAGGAGAATATTATAGCATTACTCTTTTTGAAATCAGTAATGCTAGGCTAGGCTAATCAAATTTTAGGATCAAATTTGGAGTCCAAATGATATGGTAGTTCATTGATTGGTATCATGTCATTTGAGCCCCAATAAAAACTTCAAATAATTACTTGTCATGTTATTTGAGATCCAAATTTAGTCTCAAAATTTGGTCAATGTAATATTACTCTTTTAAAATATCAATATTATTCCTATGGGGCTCACCTGCATTAGGAACGGTCAAAAAATTGGTCAAACCGCACATTTGGCTAACCTATGCATTGTGGTGCTACCTCGACTCAAACTCTCATGGTTTAAAAAAAAAAGTCGTAGCAGGACACAATAAGTGTTCTATAACCAGGATAGAGGACCTTTCAGCTCATACACCACCATTAGGCTTATGCCACTCGAATCCCCCCACCTAGGCGCCCCCCCCCCCCCCCCCCCCCAAAAAAAACAAAATTGACAACCCAACAGCAAAGCCTATAGGTTATAACACAAGCTGGAAATATAATATTTGAAGAAACCCTAATACAAGAAATGGTCTAAAGACAGAATTCAACAATTTGTGATGGTGATTGAACTCACCATAGTTGACTGAGTCTAAACCTAAAAACCCTATACCGACAAGTTTTAATTCCATTCAAACTTTACCCCCAAAAAACGTATTATTAACAGCAAAAAATTCATAGCACAGAATTCATAAAAAAATACTTTTAGAAATAGTTTGGACTTTGTTGCAAAATTGTCGAAGTAGCCTTGTCCGTTAAAAAAAACATGCCACAACAAATAATTTGTAGATGAGCAATTACATTAAAAATAAATAAAATTAAACCCGTCTTCCCTGCGTTTCTGGACTCCTTGTGTCAAAAGACTACTAGCTAGCTTCCATAGTGTACTTTTTGAACACCATATCATAGGAGACACTGAAAGATGGTGTGAAACCATTGTTGCTCTGATGTGCAATCATCTGCACCCTCACAAGAGATCTGGAAGTCCCTTTTTTTTTTTTCAGTCTGTTTCGTGGTGCATGTAACATGTAGTTTTCATTCAATTTCTGAATCATTTGTTCTTGGCTTAAACATGCCTTAGACTTCATATGATTCACACCAAGACTAAAAATCAATCAAGGAAACCTTGAAATTAATCAACTTCATTTTGATGATCCATATTCGTAGAAATTTGTTGGTTGTTCATCGATTGTGTTCTGATACTTTGATAACTATACAAATTCATTACTATTGAAGTACCTTCATCCTTTTGCATTTTTTGTACTATTATTCATACTTAATGGGGTTTCCTTGTTATTTTGACAACTCTTATGCGAGGTCATGTTAATTAACCAAAAATAAAAAAAAATATCCCTGGCCAGACCTGCAACTTCAATATGTCAGATGAAGGTTAAAATGCTATGCCTTAAACTAAAAATGTGTGAAAAGATAGTTTCTTGTTTGAGTTTGACAGGGAACGTCAAAAATTGACCCATGCAAACTACAGGTATTGTAGTTTCTTGTTTTACACTATGTTCTTTCTCCAAATTTTCCAGACAATTCTCACCAAGTTCCACTTTAAATTAACTAGCTTTCAATCAAATAAGAAATTTATGTCAGCAAGATGTCATTAACATGTCATTCTACAAAGGCTTTTTTTTTTTTTTTGGTGTTTTATAGGTGGATGTTTTATGCATAAACCCACAAATGCCCACACGCAAAACTATCAAATATTACATATCAATTAACATCGAATAATTAGTGAAATTTTAGTGAGACCTACTAATCCCTCCATTTAAGTTGATTTAATATAGATTTTAGTAAATATAATACTAGCGACAAACCCGTGTGATGCACGAGATTTATTTAGACCCCATCTCCGACCCTTCTTCCTTCTATCACACCCGTAATTGGGATATTAGATAGATAAAATATAGTATCTTATGGGGGTGGTTAAAATGTTTTTCTTAAAAAATTTAAATGAATGGAAGTGAATTAGCTTAGTGGAGGAGTGATTCTATGAGAAATGTGATAGAATGTAGCTGAATCTTCCTAAATACAAACAATGAATATTTCTCCGACTTTACACACAAAAACCCACACAATAACACAGAGATTGCCTGTGAACTTTCTTGCACAAATACACTACACCAACACACACCTATACAGACAGACACACAAAAGAAGAAGAAATGTGAGTCTGAAGCCTATAAATACCAGCATTGCTTTCTCTTCACAACCCCAACAAGCATTTGTTAGAAAGAAAGGCAAATAAAGAGAGAGTATTTGAGAGATGTCAGATAGGGTGGTGAGCACTGGGGAGGGATCTGCCGAGACCCGTTCGGGTTTCAAAGACAAGGGTGGGAGTCTGATTCCGCCGCCGAGGAAGAAGGTGACGAAGATGATTGGTGATCGCTTTGTCCATTCTGTTGGTTCTGCTATCAGCAATTTGAAGGACCAGAAAAAGATCAGGCCTGGTGATGAGGGGTCTTCTTGATCATAGTACCATATATTTACTATGTACTATACACTTAATAAAATATATAAATGTTGTAGAACTTGTTTTAATTATGTAGCCTATCACAAGGGATTGATACGTGGGTGGTGTATTTGCTCAGTTTCTGTATAATTTTATGTTTCCTATGGTTCATAAATGAAGTTTACCAAGCATTCATCTGTTCAGTTTACCAACTCTAATGGCTCTTACAGGAAGCATTTTAGTAGGATGGAAATCCATTTACAACGTCTCGTTCTATTTTGGGTTTTTATCAAGTATTAAACTATTAAGCAATTCTAATACAGTCTATTTAATTAATGTTGTCCAATAGTCTGATATTATTTAATTGATCATGTCATGTTCGGGTTGTTATATACTAACCCGTGAACCATAGATCATGGCTCCTCTCTCTCTCTCTCCGTCACACACACACACAATAAAACCTACCATCCATAGGCTCCCAATAAAATACAAATCCACTTGGTCTTTATAATTGTAAAATTCCAAAAAAAGAAATCTCTAATTTCAAAAGGAGTTATACAATGCCTAATCAAAAAATTTAAGTCTGGAAACGAATTCTACGCAATATTTCTTTGTGTTGCTATTTTGAAGTCACATCTCCCCTCGACATTTCTAATTTTTCATAGGGTCTCCCTATCTTTAATAGCCACGGACCAATGAATTAAACAATGATATCCAGCGAAAACAAGATCTTACTACACAACATCATACATATCAACCAAGTTTTTTAATCGGGTATAAGCCTACTTGAGTGTGAAATTGAATGGTTAAACAGAGACATAAATCCTGATAGAAAATAAAAAAAAAAAGAGATAGTAGTCGGCCATAGTATTATATCACCATTTATTTATAGAACAAATAAATTAGACTAATATTGTTCAAACCTCCACTTTGAAGTCCCTCACGCAGTCAGTGTTCACCAACTTTTTGTTATATCAAAATCAGTTTGATTTAGAAGAAAATGACCGATAGATTCTTCGGGATAGGAAAGATGACGAAAAGTCATAAAATCAAGCCTTTTCAAGACCAAACGACCTTTCCTTTAATACCCTCAATCAACATATTATTATTTAGGAAAATTACACTTTGACCATATATATGGTCAAATTAACATATTTTTTAAAATTTACCTTCAACAACGTGATTAGTTTTACATCGCTTTAATGATTATTATAATCGGTTACAAATTTGACAATTTTCATTTTGTCCACTTTCTCTCCAAAAAAATCTATGCTTTTTTTTGGAGAGAAATTTTTTTTACTTTATCGTGACACTTTCACAATTTGTCCTAAAAGATGGTGAACATGTGTTAGGTACAATATGAAAAAATTTAGTAGTTGAGGAGAGAATATAAAATTTTCAATAATTCAAGAGACTGTGAAATCGAGTCTATAGTTAAAGGAATCAAAATATAATTTTTCTTAATTTTAAAAATTAATGATTTTGATTGCGTGGTCAAAACATTGGACTGACTTAATTAATGTTGTTCTAATCACTCTTAAATCAATCCTTGTGATCAGGGTCGGGGTGGTAATGAGTAGTCGTCGTCCTTGGCCCGAATTGTGACCCCGACCACACTAATCAAAAAAAAATATAGTCTCATGGAAGCTTACATTATGTCAAACTATGGTCTACAATGTAAACAACATATTCCATGAGTTTCAAGTTATTTTCATAGAAAAGAAGAAGATATTTTCATTAAAGGGCAAATTACACTTTGGCCCTTTTAGCTATAATCTACTCTTCTTTGTTAGGAAATGAAGTTTTCTACGCACACCCACCCACACAAACACACAAAAATACAAATGCGAGTCCTCTTACTCGGAGTCTACATAATGATAAAAATAATGGTTGGTATATTATCGTCTATCGTCCATTGATGTTGTGTTCATCAAAATTTATAGAGTTTATAATCAATTTAAAGATTATAGTGAATTAAATCAATAAATTAAGTTAATAAATTAAATTTTAATAACATTACTCTTGGTTAATATATATACATGGTGATGACCCCTTTGATGTATCAAAAAAAGAATTCTACACCCGTATTTACGAACCTAGGATTCACACAGTCTCGAATCCTTCTCCCACCCATGCCTGTATTTATGATATATCAAATAAAGAATGCTAATATCTTATGGTGTGACACAAATATTGTTTTTTTAAATTGTGAATGAATGATAGTTTATTGGTGGGTATAGAGTGGTGTTTATATGAGATGTAGAGTGTAATTTTAAACACAGAAACACACATGCACACACACACATATACACATACACATGCTAATACCCACATAAAACACATACAAATAAAGGAAGAATTGTGATGGGTTTTTCTCGGAGTTTACAAACCAACCGCCATACAATCGCACAGAGACTTCCCTTTAACTTGAGCTCCCATACAATTTGACAAACACACACACACACACACACACACACACACACATACTAGTACCCACACAAACACATACAAGGAAAGGAAGAATTTCATGGGTTTTTCTTGGAGTTTACAAACCAACCCCCACACAATCGCACAGAGACTTCCCTTAAACTGTGAGTTTTGCAGCCTATAAATACACGAATTGCTTTCTCTTCACTACCACAACAAGCATTGAAAAAGAAAGGCAGAAATAAGAGAAAGAGTTTTGAGAGATGGCAGACAAGGGGGGGAGATCTGGGGAGGGAACATACAAGAACTGGCCGGGTTGCAAAGACAAGGGTGAGAGCTTGATTCCGACGAAGAAGACGGTGAAGAAGATGATGGCTGAGCGCATAGGTCAATCAGCTGCTTCTGCTTTCAACAATTTCAAGGACAAGAAAAAGGTCAAGCCTGGTGATGCGTAGTCTGCTTAATATGGTATTCTACTTATGTAGAAAGTACGTATCGAAATTGTGTAATTATGTAGCCAATCACTCATGCTTGGTGGTTGGTGTATTTGCTCTGCTTACACGTATGTTATCTATGGTTCATGAATGAAGTCTCATATGCATTCACATTTTTAGTTTTACCAAAAAAGAATAGCTCTTGCTGGAAGCATTTTGGTAGGGTGGTAATCGAGTTAAATGTGTCTGAGTCATGTTATTTCTAATTCGTGTGGAGTAATTATTTCTAATTCAAACTATTTAATTATTGTCCACTCGGTTAAAAAGAAAGGTCCATTTTTCAACACGAGTACTCATTCCTTCAATGCCTAACTATTTTTTTAATGATGCCATGTTATAGTACCCTGCCCTCGTTGTAAAAAAAACCCAACAACCAATAAGTCCCTAATAAACTCACAGTAACTCCTCATCTTGTTAAATTATAAGCCACAACTCACTCAGACGTTTTAATTTCTCATAGTATTTTCAAAGTTTTCCTTGCCATAAACCGATGAATTGAAAGATGTTACCGAGCCAGGCATGTTCTTGCAAATGCAAAACCTTATTATTCAAAGGGAGACTTTATTAAAAGCCAAAATGAAACAAACTCAATATGCAATGCATCAACCCGCGTGATAAGGTCTCTTATTATTCATGCTAATGTGTTTGTGTCCTTCGTGACAAAAACTAGTCAATTATAATCCATTAATTTTATATTATATCACACATTCCACAAATTGGATTGATTTTGCTCAAGCCTCCACTATGTAGTCTCGATTTCTGCCGTTGTTCAAGGGAATTTCTGTGACTTCTTCAAGAATGACTAGTTTGATTTAGAAGAATTCTTTCAGGAATAGGAAAAATAACGAAAATCACTCTACGAACCTTTTTTTAATTCCATTCGACTTATTCACTCAAAAGTTCCATTGAACAAATGGCAAACAAAAATTTATCATTTGGGGGATGCTTGGCAAAATTCAACAAGATTGGATTATTCGACGGGAATTGACACGAAATTAACGGGTTTGAATTTGATCTTAATGGATTCAAGTAATAAATATAAACAAGTCGTATTTGGATGTAGTACCTTAACCCGTTTATCACTTGATTACTCATTTAATAAATTAATATATCACTCAATTACTCGTTTAGCACATGATTACATGTTTGTCACCTGATTACTTATTTAATAAATGACTCAATTTGTTATAAAACTAGGGCTTTTAATTAAGACTTATTTTGGTTATAGAATTAATGTGTTACGTGAGTCGAGTTATGTAATTCATTTAATAAATAATTCGTGTTTAGTGTTGTAATTTATGTCATACCCATTTAATAAACGATTTGTATAAGAGCAAAGTGATTTTCCAAATTTGCCTATGAGTCCAAACGTTGTACCCATAATCCCACGCCAGAAGCGCCAAATTTGGGTATGAAAGAAAAGTACTCGAAACAAGGCCTAAAAACGTGTCGATTTGTCTTGGGTCTTAGAGAACAACCATATTTTTCAAGATTGTTTTCCATGGCTTTGTCAAGACATTGAACAGGCTGATTAATGGTCCAGGGTCCATTGATGTTGGCTATAACTCTCGAAGCAATTATTGTCATCGTGGTCAGGGCGTCGGTCCCGGCCCCGGTCCCGGTCCGCGTCCCGGCCCCAACTATAAATTACCAATCCAGTAAAAAAACTATAATTTACCAGCCACATGTTCCACGAGATTTCAATGTCTTCTCATAAAACACAAATTATACTTTTAACCCCTTAAATGTGGCCTCCATTTCACATTGTCTCAATGATTAAAATTTGCTACAAATTTCACAAAAAATTATTTCACTTTACCCCCAAAAAATGTTATTCTGTTTCATTTTTCCACAACATGTGGATTTTTTTTTTTTTTGTTTAAAAGATTACTAACTTTTGTTGTCGAGATTGATGATGCACAAAATTAATTTACACACCACCTGTCAATTAAGCAATATAAAATGTAGTAAGTAGAGGGAGAAAGAAAACAAGGTTTATAGTGGTTCGGTTAATAAGACTTACGTCCATTTTCAATGACTAGGTTTTGTTGGGATTTTATTGACTCCAGTATGGTGGGAGAGCAAGAATTACAAGAGAGAGAGATGAGCTTGATTTTGTTGAGATGCCCCCAAGTGTTGGGGGAGCTTACAATTTATAAAAGCCTACGTAGTAATTGAGTAGGTTAACGGTTATAACGGATTGGAAACAACTTAATAGTTGATGATCTCTCCTCTTTTTGGCAACTTCTCCTCTCCCTGGCAACCTCTCCTCTTCCTCAACGGGCAAATGTATAGCTCCTAGATGCTCCCATAGCTCCTTGATGGGTTTGATTGTCTTTGACCTCATAGGGCTTGGTTGGGGCTTTTTCCCATGGATTGGGTCATTTGGGCTTGACCCATCATTTGCCCCTTAATGCCCCATGTCCAATGAAACTTGGAGAAGTGGACATTCAACTGAATTTGAATTCTGACCCAAGAATACTCCACACCTGCTACGTCCTTGTTGCGCTATGATAGGTTACGGGGTTCCACTTGTGGTGAGCTCTCCTCAGTCTACCCCACCACTGGCACCTCGAGCGCCCTCCCCTCAAGTAACCAATCCAGAGGTGCCTTCTTGGTCAGTGGCTCCCATGGCTGCACCTCCTGCCCCAGAATCTTGTCTAGAGTCTCATTTGTTGGCCACACCTTCTGCCCCCCATTCATCCATTCCTCTTGTGGGGACTTCTTCTAGGGAACCTTCTCAGATTAACTCCATGCTGGATAACGTGGAGGTCATCAGGGATCAGCTTGGGAGGTTTTTGTTCACCAACGATGTGAATGGGATTAGTGTCTTTCTCCCTTCCTTCCATAAGTTTCTGACATTCTTTTGCCTTCTGTTTCTCTTCAGGCCTCCACTGCAGCTATGTGTTTAATTTCAAGGACCCTCCTTTATCACAAGCTAAAACACGATCATGAAGTGGTGAAAAATGAGCTTCTTGTTGCTCAGAGGAGGATCACCAAGCTTGAAGCTACTAGTAAGGCTTCTGATGCTGACCTTGTGGCAACCCGTCAGAGGGCGACTGGTCTTAAGATTGAGCTTTCGACAACCCATGGGAGGGTGTCCGAACTCGAGGCTAAGCTTGTTGAGGTCCGTTAGAGGGTCATGCTCAATAAGGCTGAGCTTTCGGCAACCCATGGGAGGGCGAACAAACTCGAGGCTGAGCTTGCGAAGGTCCGTGAGAGGACCATACTCAGAAAAACTGCCATAGAGGCAGAGGTGAAGGCTACTCATGAGAGGGATTCACAGACTGAGGAGAGGGCTGTGATAGTTGAGAGGGACTTTGAGAATGGTCTTGTAGATACCTTCATTAACAGTTATGAGGAGCTTTCGAGAAAGATTTTTGTTGCTTTTCTCGATATTGATGTCTCAGACTTCTTGCCAACTAAGGCGCCTGATAGTAGTTGCGGAGATTCTGACGATGCCGAGGGTGACGATAAGGAGGAGGATGACGACCATGAGTAATTAGAGTGCTAGAGACTTTTTGATTTTTTGTTTTTTTTTTTTAAAGGCATTTTGTAGTCATATTTTTGTAAAAGTAGTTTTTTGCCACTGATGATACTTTGAAGTTGAGAAGTTAAATATGAAAATGGCAAGATCTTTTTGAAGTAAATCAAATGCCAAGATCTTTTTGCAGTAAATATCTGAAGTTTTATTCTTATTCATTTTTCTGCTCATATAAAGCAATATCGGATAATAGCCCCACAAAAGAGTACAAAAAATAAAATCAAGTCCCCAACTTTTCTACTATCTCAAGGTGTCATTGGTAGTACCTCTTTAACTGCTCCGCTTTCCATGGATGGGGTAAGACCTTCCCCTCAGAATTCTAGATCTTGTAAGTGTCTGGCCTCACCAATTCTATTATGAGGTATGGTCCTTCCCAATTTGGTCTCAACTTTCCTTCGCGTGAATCCTTTGTGGCGAGTATTACTTTCTTGAGGACCCAGTCCCCTGCTTGGAAGGAACGAGGCTTTGTCCTAGAGTTGTAGTATTTTACTATGCGGCGCTTATACTCCATATTGCTGACCACAGCCATCTCTCTTGCCTCCTTTACCAAGTCGAGGTTGATGCGGAGTCCTTCCTCATTGGTGACGAGGTCGTGGTGTTGGACCCTTAGAGAGTACACCCCGATTTTCACAGGGATGACTGCCTCTGTTTCACAAGCAAGGGAGAATGGAGTTTCTCCGGTTAGAGCTCTGGTATGGTGCAGTAGGCCCATAAAACACCTAGGAGCTCATCAACCTAAAGACCTTTCGCTTTTTTAAGCCTTTTCTTTAGGTTGCGTAGTACCGTTCTCACCATAACTTTCACTTGTCCATTTGCCTGTGGGTGCGTCGGGCTTAAGTGAGGCTGCTTTATTTGAAGGTCAGAGCAGAAGGAGTTCAGGAGCTTGTTGTCAAACTGTTTAGCATTGTTATTGACGATGGTGTGGGGTATCCCGAAGCGACATACCAGGTTTTTCCAAATGAAATCTTTCACCTTTGCGTCTGTTATTTTTACTAAGGGTTCTGCCTCCGCCCATTTAGTAAAGTAGTCCACTACTACCACCACGAACTTGCACTGTCCTCTACTGAGAGGTAGGGGGCCTAGGATGTCAATGCCCCATTTGGAGAAGGGCCACGAACTTGTGATAACCGTGAGTTCCTCTGGTAGCTGCTTGGGCACAGTGGCGAAGCGCTGACACTTGTCATATTTTTTAGCAAATTTTTGGGCGTCCCTCATCATGCTAGCCCAGAAGTAGCCTTGTCTGAGTGCCTTGTGGACGAGGGAGCATCCTCTAGAGTGATTTTCACAAACTCCTTCATGGATCTCCCGCATGACATAGTCAGCTTCTTCAGGGGAGAGGCATCTCAATAATGGCAAATAGTAGTCTTTCTTGTACAGGGTGTCTTGTAGGATAGTAAACTTGGAGGCCCTCGTCCGGAGCTTCCTAGCTTCTAGAAGTTCCTCTGGCAATGCACCTTCATGGAGGTATGCCTTTATCGGGGTCATCTAGTTTGACTCAGCTGATGCACAATTGACATTTACGGCTTTCGTGTCTAACTTTTTTGGTCTGAACTGGTGACCAATGAATGTTGGTTCTCCTAGTTCTAAGGATGAGAAGATCT